CCCTTTTTCTTTCTTTTTAAAAATATTTTAAAAATCCAGAATATTTATTGCACACTTACTCATCGAAATTCTTAAGACGAACTCGATGCTGCAACAGCTGCCCTCTTGGCTTTAGGTGTTGTTCCTTCATGGAATCCATGCTTAAATCTGCAGTCTACAATTTTTCGGTGCCTCATTCAATCAGTCCCAGTGGTATTTTGTCTTTTAGCTTTAGCACTCCAGTTACACTTTCTGTTACACTTGGCAGGGTAGCTACATTTGCCACAAGTCAACTTCCAAAGGTGGTAGGCCTTACAGTCACAGCAGCAGCACAATGGTTTTATTCCAACATGTCCCAAGCGAGGATGTTCCCTTTGTCATCTTGCTTCTGCCCCTCTTTAAGATTTATTTCATTCAATCCAGAACATTTATTAAAGGTGCATTGTGTGCCGTGAACTATTACTACATGCCTTGTGGAAAAGGATTTATGTGAAAAACAAAACAACTGAAGCTAAAAAGCAAAAACAAATTACTAAATGGACTTCTGCATCTAGTTAGGACGGAGTAATAGGGACCACATTTACTCTCCTTCCTGAAACAACTATAAAAGCAGACAAGACACATGGGACAAGGTTTTTTAGATAATGAACATCAGGTACCAAAGGATGGTGATCCCTGAGGAAGAGGAAACAGATAAGGTAAGTTCTATGATTCCCTCAGCTCAGAGTCTGAAGAGAGACTCCAGGTGATGGTGCAGGGAGGGGCACTCATGCTGAGTCTGGCCATCTCTTGGGAGCCGAGGAAATGGAACTGACCATCTAGGGAGCCAGGGCATCTAGATGTTGTAGGCAAAGTCCGGTGTGCAGACAGAACGTCACAGAGAAAGCTCCTGAAATCTCCAGAAGGTCCCCTCAAGTCTTCAGCTGGGTACAAATCAGTGTACGCATGCAGGGGAACAAGAACCACCTGCAGAATACAAAGACCAATCGCCAAAGCTCACGCAGAGCTGAGAGTAGTTCGTGTTCCTAAGCATGGGGTTTTCGTCACAATTCAACAGACATTAGGTAGACCGCAAAAGTTATTACTTCAGTAGGGGAGCATAGTAAAGTCCTAGTCTAATGGTTTCTTTTTAATCCTACCTCTTAAAACTTAATGGGAAGCCTCAAAAGGATAAACTCTCCAAGTAATCTAACTATGGCCAAGAACAAGGTTCAAGAATACAAATAGGAACACAAAAATATCCATCACCCAAGAAATAAGGCAAAATCATAATATCTGGCATCCAATTAAAAACTACCAGGTATGCACAGAAGCATGGACATATCACTGATGGTGAAGAGAAAAAGCAATCAATAGAAACAATCAAAAACTGACAGGGGAATTAATAGGTGATGATGTCACACAACTCACTGTAGCTATACCCCATAGGCTTATGAAAATACAGGAAAGATTGAGCATATTATGTAGAGACATGGAAGACACAAAAAAGACTGAGATCACACAGAGATGAAAAATCGAATATCTGAGATGAAACAAACATTGCATAGAATTAACAAATCAAACACTATAGAACAAAACAAATCAGTGAGCTTGAAGACACAATAATAGAATTAGTAAAACAAACACACACAGACAGGAAAAAGACCCAAACCAAATGAACACCAATGATCCGTGGGACAACTTTAAGCAGATGGAGCATGTGAGTTAATCTGCTTCTGAGGATTCCTTCTTGGAATCCTCAAGAAGGGATATTTGAAGAAATGGATGTAATGCTTCCAACCCAAGAAGTGCAATGGGGCTTAAGTGCACAAAACATGAAAGAAACTATAGCACAGACATCATAATAAAATTACTTAAAATCACTGGTAAAGAGAAAATCTTAAAAACATAGAGTAAGAGGCTTATTTTATACATAGGACAAAGTACAGCAACTCCTTTAAACTATTGGGGGAAAAAAATCTGTCAACCCAGAATTATATATCAAAGTCTTCCTTTTTACTTAAGGAAAGGAATCTTTATTAAGTAGACTGGAAACAGAAAAGCAGGGGTCTTGTCTGATAAATCTTTAAGGTGATTGATTGCAGTCATTCCTTCTTTCTTTCCAAACCTCTCCCTTCCTTTTTTATTAATAAAAATTGCAAAAAAGGATTCATCTTATGCCTATCTATTAGTTGATAATGGTAAAGCCTGATTTTTAGAGGAAGATGTCCCCTCCTAGATATCAGAATGGTGCTTAAAATCAAACCTTTAGACATTATCATCTTCCTAAAAATCTCTTCCACAATGTCAGTTACTCTGCCCTACTCCCCAAATGCTGACCTCAAAGAGTTCTGCACGAGAAGTTATTGAGAGGGCCAGTGTGTTAGAAAATCTACTCACGGCTCATAAGAGAACCAAATGGCTGAGAAAGAAGAAAAAGATGCAAAAAGGGGATAGGCTTTACTTATCTTAACATTTTATCTGGCACTGTATCTAATAAGCAGAATCAGGGCTAAAACATATCTAGTTCAAGAAACCCAGTGAACTGTTAATGCTAAAGATTATATTTCAACTCTTAAGATATTTTAAATTAAGAAATATATATTTTTGTTGAGATTGGCCTTAGATTTATGGGCTAATGTTAATTTTTACAGCTTTTATAACTCCTGTACAGTATAAGGAAAATTACCCCCCAGAAGTGTCCCAATTGGGTTAAGTTTAAATCCTCAGTTCTCACAGAAACTTCTAAGAGGCTAGCTTTCAAGTTCAAATACCCCAGGAACATCTCAGAAGCTTCCTTTTATAGAAGATTCCACCCACCCTAAATTCTTTTAGTGATGTTAAATTAGAGTTTGCCCCAAATCAAAGAAGAACCAACTTATTTTATAAGACAACTTAGCATGAATTATATTTATTCATAGTTACTGAGTAATCCAGGATCACAAGAAATATCTACTATGAATAATACAATAGATGTTATGAAAATATTACTGGAGTTCTGATAAAATGTATATTTTATAATATACTAAGAGAAAATTTTAGAGACATTGAGATTCCTTATGTTAGAAGTTACGAGTTAATTTTTAAATTATGATGATCATCTAATCTTACAGCACACATCTCTGATTTTATGAATCTGTGAGTGCATGCGTCCAACTCCTTGCAACCCTATGAACTGTAGCCCACAAGACTCCTCTGTCCATGGGATTCTCCAGGCAAGAATACTGGTGTGGACTACCATGGCCTTCTCCAGGGGGATCTTCCCATGTCTCTTATGTCTCATGCATTAGCAAACAGGTTCTTTATCACAGGGACTTCCCTGGTGGCTTAGAGGGTAAAGCATCTGTCTGCCTACAATGCAGGAGACCTGGGTTTGATCCCCAGGTCGGGAAGATCCCTTGGAGAAGGAAATGGCAACCCCCTCCAGTACTCTTGCCTGCAAAATGCCACAGATGGAGAAGCCTGCTAGGCTACAGTCCATGGGGTCGCAAAGAGCTGCACACGAGTGAGCAACTTCACTTCTTCATCACTAGCGCCATCTGGGACACCCTTATGAATCTACATGGAAGCAATTCATATTAAAATGTCTTTACTATATACTTCTTATATGTATTTCATATCTATTTCTTATATATGTCGTTAAAAATTAAGTTTATTTGGGCAAATAAATTACCACATACTGTTGAATCATAAAGATATCTTTGTTAATTTTATATTTCTTTAGCTTCTCTTTATTCTTTTGCCAAGTGTTATATTGAACAAAGGAGGGAAACTGGCTGGTGTTTTGTGTACAATTATATAACTGTGATTGAGAAGAAAGATGAGAACTTACCTATATATTCTTGCAAAAATAGTTACTGAATATGAACCCTGGGCCAAGCACCTTGCCAACACTGTACCACTGCCAGATAGCCAGCAATTTTTAAAACTGATCCTAAAGCAATCAGAATTATATTATTTATTGGAATAAATTAGAAAGTACTATTAGAGAATACAAAAGCTTCATGCTAAGAAACTTATGGTATAACTAGGATGATTAATACATATGAAAAGGTTTTTTAAGGACCTGACAAAAACTAAAGAGAATATTTTATTTCAATTTAAAATTGCTATACTCCTCAAACACATGATAGAAAGGTTATAAAATTTAGACAGCAATTTGGCACGTCTGAATGAATTGATTGGGGTGGAAAAAAATTTATCAATAGATCTCCATAAATAGATTATTTGTGAACAGGAGTTTGAAGAAATTAAGTGATATTGCTTAAGAGTGGAAGATAGTAAAAAAAAAAAAAAGAGAGAGAGACAAGAAGAAACCACATCCTTTTGTACCAACTATGAATGTTGCAACGTGGAAATCACAGAGTGGCAAGTTGATTAGCTTTTCTGGAAAACAGGATTTGTATTGACTTGAAAATAAGAACTGAAGTGAGACAGAGGAGGATGGGTATTTTAAATTTGGGGCTGAGAACTTTGAATTCAATAAGGAAGCAAATTCAGAGACAAAGAATTTAACAGCAAGGCCATCCTTTAGACCGGTACCTTCCTTTCAGAGAAAACTACCTTTACTGATATTTCACACCATCAGTGGCATTTCCACTTGGGATTAGACCAAAGGCTTCTATTCTCAGTGTTTTCTTCACATTCACTGCTACTCCACGAAACGCTAGCCCACTGACCAGGAACAGGAGAGACGCCTGAGTACAATAACTTGGAATACTCGCCGCGGAATTTCTAACTTTAAATATTCCTCGGCCTCTCAGGCTCAGCCTCTAATCTCCCGGAAGTCAACTGTGCCCCATTCTTTACATTGCCCGACCTCTCCCTTGGTGGATGTGGGGCTGCGGGATCATTTCTGCCACACGACTGGATCAGGACACCAGCGAGCCGCTCAAGTTCAATCCCCTTCTGCCTCCGGTCAGCGCATTACTCGTGCTTAATCTCAGGGCAACTTCCTTAGAGGCCGCCCAAAGCGGGACGTGCCTCTGGGTTTACCAGGTGGTGGGATATTCCTCTAACGGGATCCGAACCCTAGTGCAGTTATGCTGCTGCCCCACGGCCACAACCTGGGATCCTCTTACGGTGAACACTTAGAAAACACTGGAGGGAATTTATGGTTTCTCTTCTGTCATGAGCAGAAGGGAGAAAGGCCCAGTGAGTGTGATGCTTTTCAAAGCACGTTCCATTTGGCTCTGGCTGCTCAAGTGCTCCTGCCAGCGGGAGGAGGAGAATAAATAACAGCATCATTAACACAGGAACACAGTCTCAACCGCTCTCTCTCCTCTGAGGGTCAAGATCGTCCTCTACAAGGCACGGCTTGACAGGCCAGCTGTGTCTCCAACACGGAGGCACCAGATCACTCTTCCAGCCCTTCTAAAGCTCATATTTATGGGGAGGCATGAAACGTGGTTAACCGGTAAGCTATCCTTTCTTATCAGGGAAGCACGTATGTCCTCTGGAATGGAGATTGTGAAGAAGAGTGGGGAATCTCATTTCATCAGTTCCCTGTAAGCAGATTTGGCACAATCCCAGGTATACAACTCCTCATTCCGGTCTCAATTTGTCCCCAAGGACAGACAGCTCTGGCTAGGGATGTAAAGTCTCTCTGGACAGGGCTATTCTCTGGATTTTGTATGTATTCAATTTCATGGCTGGAAAGCTTTAGAAACACTAGTAAGCTGCACTGTATTATAAATTTCCTGGTTTGCCAAACAGACCTGAAAAGCTATCAGCTGCCTGTGTCATCCATCCTGGCTATTCCCATGGCCCTGGCCAAGCTCGCTGTAGTGGACTGGTCTCCGGAAAGGTATGCCAAAGTCCTAACCTCGGTATCTGTGAATGTAACCTTACTTGGAAAATGGCTCTTTGAAGATGTTATTAAGGTAAGGAGCTCCAGATGAGCTCATCCTGGATTAACCCAGTGGAGCTTGATCCAAAAAGTGTCCTTGTAAGGAGAGGAGAATACAGACAATAGGGAAGAAACACAGAGGATCTGTGAAGTCGGAGGCAAAGATTGGAGTTATGCAGTCACAAAGCAGGGAACGCCCAAGATTCCCTATAGCCACCAGAAGCCACTGGATTCTGAACTTATGGTTTCTAGAATTGTGAGAGAGTAAAATTATGCTGGCTCAAGTCACAAAATGTGGTAATTCGTTAACAAAAACTCTAGCAAACTAATAGATGACACAGACCTAGAAGAGGCTGATGAGACTGCTGTCTGCCTCTCCCGCCCAGGTCTCAGCTAGCCAGCCCTAAAGAGAGGGAACCTAGATGTTATCGAAACCTTGAAGCCACACCCCCTTCTCCCACCATCCTGGGACTCCCCTCAAAACACAACCTCCTGCTTTTAATCTCTCCCATACTTTCCCTGGAAGGCTGACACTACTTGCTTCACCCACATTGCCATTTCTTCACTTCTTCCAAATAGAACTGGCTGCATAATTTGTGGGGAACAACACAAAACGCAAATGTGGGATCACTTGTTTAAAAATTATTAAGAATTTCAAGGCAGGACATCAGAACATTCAGACAAGTGCAGGGCTTTCTTAGAAGTAGATCCCTGTCCCACTGCACAGATCGTAGCGCCATGAAGTTGTTCCTGTCTCCTAAGCCCAGCTTCCCTTAGGATGTGGAATCCTGTTCACTACTGAAAATTCTCTCCACCTTCATAACCTATTCACACAATGCTTTATCCATTTTCTTGCTTTAGGTAAAAATCAGCTTTCTTCTGAGAAGAGTTTCCCCTGGATCTTCCTTGCATATACACCTCTCATTATGTCACTCCCTGGGACCATGAGAAGCAGCGCTGGCATCCCTATAGATACCCAGTATTGCTTTGGAACCATGCCCTACCTCTTACATCAGCCCTTGATCCATTTAGGCTCTTGTTCCCTGGATATGTACCTTATGTCCCAATTCTGCACATTCACTCAGTTCCTGACCGTTCCACCACAGTCATGGAAGGCTTTGGTATCTGAGTCATTCCTTCTCTACTCCATGGCTTCACCGTTGGTGGCTTCAATGTCCATATGGCTAGTCTCTTCAATAACTTAATCTCCAACTGCTTGATCTTCATTCTATGGAGAACAGCTAACCCCAGTCATAGCTCTTCCACAACCCTGCCATTATTCTGCTACTAAAATGTTCAAAAAAATCTATCCCACCTCCTGAATACAACTTCTTCTTTTTCTCTATCTTATTTGATTGAGATTTGTTCTTTGGCTTCTTTTTCTCTCCCCTTTAATGTCCTTTTTATCTTCCATATACTATTAAGTGAACCTCATAGCTCTGTTCTTCAACCATTCTTTTAAAAATGGCATCTAAGTTTTCTTCTTGCCTTTCCATCAAATCATCTGGTAAAATCCCAAAGTGGGATTAATTAAACTCTCTGCATTTACCGTCACATATTTTACACAAATTCACACAATTGTGTGGAACTACTGCTATCACAAATTCCTGAATTTGAATTTTTTTTTTTTAACTTATAGTCAGGTTCCATTATTCCCAACTGCAGCTACTAGAAGCCTTCAGGCTCTTTACCTGATTCCATTATCTCCCTTACTTTCTAGTAGAAATGAGAAGCTATCAAAAATCTTCGATATACTATAAAAAGACAAAAGCAATCTATAGGTAGTGTTTTCTTAAGTCATTATTCTGTTTTGATCGAAGAAAATGAGGTTCTATTTATTTATATAAAAACTGCTTATTAAGCAGCTATTTTGTACAGGTACCACTCTAGCTACTGAAGATACAGCTTTCATGGAGGAAACATTCAAGTAGTTCTGATGATTTTAAATATGTAACTTTAAGGTGTATCAGACAGGGCTAATGATTTTATCAAACTTCCCCCCAAAACAGGTTTTACAAGACAAATTTTGTGAGTAAAAGGAGTACAGTTGCAAAACCATAAAAATCTAACCACTGCAGTGTAACTCATAAATTCAAACATTTTAGCATCTCTATCATAGGCTCTCTAAAATAAATGGGCCTTAAATAATTTGCCTTAACAATATTATATTTTATTATACAATTGAAATTACACTAAAGATATGAATAACTCTCAGTCTCTTTAATTACTATTTGTACGACCATACAAACAACCATGTTTTAGAAAACAAAATGTACCAATGTCAGCACTTAGAAAAATTGTAAGTTTTAGTAACAGGGTATAATTTAAAGAACGTCAATCAACCTTAAAGAAAGAAAGGCTTGAGCTCAAAATTGGAGTCTTCCTAGCTATTTCATTTTATTCAAATTATTTAACCTTGCTGAGCCTCAGTTTATTTATTTGAAAACAGAGATGATTATTGCCTCAGTGTTGGGGTAGGAATATTAAATACTTTAAAGAGCCCGAGGGCAGCACTATTGGCAGGGACATTAACGAAAACATCTTTCTATCCCATAGCCTTTGCCTATGAAAATATTGGAACTAGTCAGTAGTGAAGTAGTAGGTATCACCCGCTTGGCTTGGAAGATCGGGTTCACAGTATCAGTAAACATATTGGTGTTAAGGCGACTTTGGACACTAATAATGCCTTTCAGGAAACCAGAGGCGATCTCAGGACTTCTGTGAGGAGAAATCAATTCTTCAAGAAGCAGAGAAAAGCACCTTAATTTTAATAGCAGTATCGTCATTCATCTATTATGCTTCCTAAAGTTCATAATGAGACCTTATTAGAAGGACTTCATTTTCCTTGAGAATCTTAAAGTGGAGCGTGATAGACACTGATTTCTGCTTTTTTTTCCCCTAGAGTTGTCTACATTGCACATGACTTCTCAATTTGCTAAAATAATGCGGTAATAAACACGAAGACCCACATTTCGGGTGCAGGTAAGAAAACCATGCACATTGCATGGTTTGCACTTTCTCCAAACAGCCACGATTAAAGTGCAACCTTGGGACAGACACTTCGGGCCACAAATGCTTCGGAGGGTCTACAGGGAGAAGGGAGGAAAGCGAATTCCCTCAGTCACATCAAGTAAATTCTTAATAGACCCTTAACACTCACCCAGGGGAACTCAGAGTGGTAGGTGAGGGTTCTGTGATGACCATCGATGATTAATTGTCTGTGAGGGCGCACGCAGGGAAAAAAACAAACAGACAACACCGCCCGGGACGCCGAAAGGTAAGACCCACCGTGTCGCCGGCCGGGGAGCCGGCTGGCGGCGGGTGGCGCCCCGAGCCGGACCCGGGGCAGGGGCGTCGGGGGCGGGGGTTTAAGGGAGGGAGGCGCGCTCCACGCTCGGGGGCGGGTCCCGGCGGCCGCTCTCTCCGCCCCCGCGGTCGCCACCACCTCCAGGCTGCGCCCGAGCGCAGCGGCTCAGACGCGGTCGCATCTTCGTGGACGGTAGAGGCGGCAGCGAGCTAGAGTCAGCGTCGCAGCTCGCGGCCACCGAGAGGCCGGGCGAGTCCGAGCGCCGGGACCTGGCCCGGGCTCGGAGGACACCTCAGTGCGCGGCTGGTACGTACGTGGTGAAGGGGAGGTGGAGTGGGGGTTGCTGGAGCGAAGATGGAGGGAAAAGGGCTTGGGGAGGTAGGGGAGACTGAGCGAGCGACGATGCGGTAAGAGCAACTTTCCTATTTTCCAGCCAGTCCACGCGTGCTGGGGGGAATTCAAATAGATGCCTCTTTGGCCAGAGTGACCACATCATGTAACACGCAGAGGTCCTTGCAGAGTGGAAGGGGGCGCTCAGGTCAACAGGGGTAGCCAGGGAGGTCTGATCACCTCTTTTTGCCCATTCTGCCCTGAAGGTGGACATTGGTGATGTCTCGTGAGTTGCTGAGGCTTCGCCTCTCGCACGAGTAGTGCCACGTCGTTTGTCCTGGGCTGCGCGTTTCCAGCCCCAGGCAGCCCCTCGCGGCCACAGGGTCAGCAGTGTTCTAGCCGGCTCGGCTCGCGTCGAGCTGTCTTTAGCCAGGTCACCTCACCTCATCAGCCTCCATCCATTTCCTTTGATAAAACCTGGGAATAATTCGATCGAGTGAACTCCTGGGTTCCCTGCAACTGTTGGATTTTCACGGAGTCTGGGACACCGGTCGGCAGCCAGGGAGGGAGAGGAGTGTAGTGTGGTCGCAGGGGTTCGGGAGACGAGCGCATGGGTCCTAATTGCTGATGTGCAGCAGCTCGTTGGGGAAGGTCCTGATGGTTCCCTCTGGGAGAGATGACCCCAGTTTACCTGCTCTCCAGACTGGCAAGTCCCTGCCGAGCGAAGCTCAGATGAACGGGTCAGTTTCATCTTCGTAGAGCTCATCCCAGGGAACGCATACGAACACGGTTGCTTTGGAAGAGCGCTTGGTACAAGTAGGGCACGTAGGAAGCACTGGAAAAAAAGAACAAACCCAGAACAAAACAAAAAAATCCTGCAGGTGGAATTTTTAGTCCTAGTCTGTGCAGGACTCTAAAATGGAGATTCAATGCTGATAACCACTTAACGATTCAACTGGAAAAACTAAAAACTAAAGCACTCATACTAATGGTTTGAATACTGAAAAAGTATGGATTAGAACTGCGCCGAGTATTGCATTTCTCTGTGTAGACATAGATTCAAGATCCATCTGTCCACTTTATCTCTTCATAAGATGCCTTTCTTCTTATTGACATTGCTACACACACAAAAAAATTCGTTCTGTGATTTAATGTTCAGAAAGGTCAGAATTTGGATTACTAAAATGAGATCTGATGGTTAGAAAGCTCACAGGAAGTTCTGTAAGTGATATAGGTTCTGGATCATGGTTTGTTAGATTAGCATTTTGAAAACCTTTTTCCCCCTACTTGTCAGGTGCTGATCAGTAGCCCTCTATTGACACTATGATAAGGGAGTTCATTTTCTAAAACAGTGTTTTGGAAGCTCAAATGTTTTAATTTTGAAAAAGAGTTTTCAAAAAGTTTTTAGTAATAAGCTTCTTAGTTTTATATTTACCACAACTTTCTTCAACAAAATATCAAAGACTAATGGAATATCTTATACAGGATATTTTAAATTATGTCAGGTTTCAATTTTGTTAAAGAATTTTCTCTCCTCTTTAGGCAATTTTAAACTAGAAGTTTAGATTTTTAGAAATTTACCCCTTTCAAAGATTTTTAAAGGAATTTTACGAAGTTGTAAAACCATGACCATAAATCAGTTTTAGAACATTTTCATCACCCCAATAAGATCCCTCATGCCCACTTAGAATTAATCTCTGATCAGGCAACTACTAATCTTTCTTTAGTCTCTATAGATTTGCCTTCTCTAAATATTTTATATAAATGGAATCATAAAATATGTGCTCTTTTGTTTATGGCTTTTTTTCACTTACCATACAGTTTTTGAGATCTGTGTTGTAATGTGGACCAGCATTTCACTCATCTTATTGCTGAAGTTTTCCATGTATGAATCCACCACATTTTGTCTTGTCTGTTCACCAGTGGTTGGACATTTGAGTTGTTTTCAGTTTGAGGATATTATGAGTCATGATGCTAAGGACATTCATATGCAAGTCTTTGTGAGTACGTATGTTTTCATTTCTCTTGGATAGTTATTCAGCAGTGCAATTGCTGGGTTGTATGATAAACATATATCTAACTTTTTAAGTGAAGTGAAGTGAAAGTCACTCAGTCGTGTCTGACTCTTTGTGACCCCATGGACTATACAGTCCATGGAATTCTCTAGGCCAGAATACTGGAGTGGGTAGCCTTTCCTTTCTCCAGGGGATCTTCCCAACCCAGGGATCCAACCCAGGTCTCAGTCATTGAAGGTGGATTCTTTACCAGCTGAGCCACAGGGAAGCCTGGGGGTCTCCTGCATTGCAGACGGACTCTACCAACTGAGCAATCGGGGAAGCCCAACTTTTTAAGAGTATTATAGAATGAATTTTATGTAAAAATTATGTATTTACAAAATGTAGAAAGTCCTGGAGAAATAAATGTTTCTGACTAGATTTTTTATGATTCCATATATACAACGAGAGGTTGAACAGGAAACATTTTGCTTCCTTTAAAAATTTTGAGCTCAAATACAGCAAGCAAATTTGTAAAAAGGTGTAACCTTTCTGAGAAATAAAATATTTCTGCAGATGAGATTTATTGGAGTTGTTTTATATTCACGGCAAAATTGAATGGAAGGTACAGAGATTTCTTAAATAACCTCTGGCCCTACACCGACTCCATTGCGGACATCACACACTACAGTGATGCCTTCACTACAGTGGATGAACCTATATTGACACATCATACTCACCCAAATCCCCTGGTTTACCTTAGGGTTCACTCTTGTTGTACATTCTGTGGCTTTGGACAAATATATAATGACATATATAGCCTGGTGGGCTATAGTCCATGGGGTTGCCAAGAGTCAAAGCCGACTGAGCATGCAAGCAGATGCAGGCATCCATCAATGTAGTATCATAGGGAGTATCTTCACTGCCCTAAAAGTCCTCTGTTCTCTGCCTATTCTTTCCCCACCCCCGGTATCTTTTAATGCTAAATGAGGGTAAATCAGGCCTCATTAAAACTAAATTTCCTGCAGTCTCCAGTGAAGATGGGAAATTGAGCAATTTGAAAATTGTATTTTAAGATGTTGATGAAATTCAAACCTGAATTGCTTGATAGTAAAGTCAGTGGTTTTCCTTTCCTTCAACACAAGATTTTTAATTGTTACAAAAAAAATCATTCCTTTTTGAATAGAAAAAAGCACCCTATAAATCATATGATAAGCTTCCATAACTATGATGCCACATAATTCTTTTACATACTAATTAAACATACTTTATTATTACATATAGAGATCAAAGGCCCAAGTTTAAGTGATTGACGTGCAAAAATCATGTGTTAGGGACAAATCCAGGGCTCCTGTTTTCCTGTTTTAAAATTCCTGTGGTTAGTAATGCTCTTTTTAGTCTTTTCAGTTTTTAAATGTTCACAGGGGTTTTTTATTTTGTTGTTCAGTTGCTCAGTTGTGTCTGACTCTATGTGACCCCATGGACTGCAAGCACGCCAGGCTTCTCTGTCCTTCACCATCTCCTGGAGTTTTGCTCAGACTCATCTCCATTGAGTAGGTGATGCCATTCAACCATCTCGTCCTCTGTCGTCACCTTCTCCTCTTGCCTTTTTTGTTTGCATCACCGAATACATACTCCCTTACTTTTCTTTCTTTGCTCAGACATTCCACAGTATTATTCACTGATTTATACTTTTTAAAGTTTTTATGGGTAAATACCAGTTTATCTTTCATTACTTTAATACACAATAATGTAAAGTAATTATCCTTCAATTAAAAATAAATAAGTTTTTAAAAAAGAAGGAAAACTGCATGTTCTTTTGAATTTTGTTGGTCTCAGTAATTTTTATTCCCAGGTGGTGCAGTGATAAAGAATCTGCCTACCAATGCAGGAGAAGCAAGAGATGCAGGTTTGATCCCTGGGTCAGGAAGATCCCTTGGAGTAGGAAATGGCAACCCACTCCAGTATTCTTGTCTGGAAAATTCTATGGACAGAGGAGCGTGGGGGTCTATAGCTGATGGGGTCTCACAGAGTTGGACATGACTGAGCACAGATCCTTGATGTACCTTTTATAAGTCATTATCAGTTAGTGATTTTACACAAAAAGAACACTTGAACATAGGCAGAAAACCAAAAGTGGTTATTATTATTATTTATCTTTTTATTGGAAGTACAGTTGACTTTGAGAAACCAAATAGGTAATCTGCTTCATAGTCAAGTGGGATATATTTTTCATTCTTGTGCTCAATGGCAAATAATGGTTTTATGCATCTGTCCGGGTATAAAGCACGCTATGGACTTACACGGGCTTTCCAGGTGGCACTAGTGGTAAAGAACCCACCTACCAATGCTGGAGACTTTAAGTGACATGGGTTTGATCCCTGGGTTGGGAAGATCCCCTGGAGGAGGGCATGGCAGTCCACTCCAGTATTCTTGCCTAAAGAATCCCATGAACAGAGGAGCCGTATGGGCTACAGTCCATAGGGTCACACAGAGTTGGACACAACTGAAGTGACTTTAAATCAAAGTGGATTTATGTTTTCTAATAACTCCAATTCTTAAAAAATGATGGTGTCCAAGAGTTGGGTGCTTATTGGAAAAGAAGTTCAGCGCTGTCTATTTAAGAATAAAATGGTTCAGATTTGTATATGTTTCTGAATAGAAGAAAATAATCTTAACTAGAATCTTGAATTAGTTAGGATAAGATTTCTCAGACTGAAAAGCGGGCCAGCGGAATAGATACCCTTGAAGATTATGGAGGAGGAGGAGTAGTCTGGAGCCAATGTGGCTTGAACACTTGTTTGGGGAGCAGCAGCAGAAGCTTTTATAGACAGTGTAAATGGAGCTAAATGCCTTCCTCTACATCTTGAATTCTCCCTCCTTAGAGTCACTATTTCCAGCATAGCCCTAAAATCTGCTGTGCTGATGAAAAGGCATGAATGGCCTTTGGGAGTGTGGAAATCAGCATGTGTGTGTGTTAGTTGCTCAGTCGTGTCCGACTGTTTGCGACCCCATGGACTGTAGCTTGCCAGGCTCCTCTGTCCATGGAATTCTCCAGGCAAGAATACTGGAGTGGGTGGTCACTCTCTTCTCCAGGGAATCTTCCCCACTCAGGGACTGAACCCTGGTCTTCTGAATTGCAGGCAGGTTCTTTACCCTCTGAGCTACCAGGGAAACCCAGAAATCAGCATGGGTAACTGTAAGTTTTCACTTGTTGGGTGAAGGAAAGGAAGAAACTGAGGTTCAATATGATAGTTTCAGGAATAAATTCATGGAAGATAAGAAAGAGTTAAGCAGTCTTCCCAAACATGCTTATATTAAATGACT